CCTAACTCTCTGTGTCCATTTTCTATGGTCTTTTCAGGCCCTCCCCCCCACTGTCTCAGGATCACCATCCCCCACTGTCTCTGGATCCTCATCTTCATGTTCTCTTTGCCTTGGTCCCCTACAGTCTTGGTCTCATCCTCCTCCATAGTCTCTGAGCCCATCCCCATTCTCATGATCTCTGCATTTTTATCTCCCACAGTCTCTGAATGTCTATCCTCTATAGTCTCTATAATGCCCCATGCTCTCTGAAATCCCTATCCCCCATGGTGTCTGCAATCTCCATCCCCCATGTTCTCTGCAGTCCCTGTCCTCCACAGCCTCTGTATCCCTGTCCCACAAAATTACAATATGATATAATTAGAGGCTTTTTCTGTTTGGCTTCATTTTTTGTTTTGTTTTTTGTTTTGGTTTTGGTTTGGTTTTTGAGACGGCCTTAGCTGTTCTGGACTCACTTTGTAGAACAGGCTGGCCTCAGACTCACAGAGATCTACCTGCCTCTGCTGAGAGTAAAAGCATGCACCACCACCATCCAGCTAGAGACCTTTTCTAATCACCTGCCCTAGTTCCCAAATAATTGATACAGAGACCTATTAGGTTTATTAATAAGCTTCATGCACAATAACTGGGCAGCTATTGATCTATGCTAGGCCTCTATGCCAGTTTGGCTATCCCAGCCACACACCCCAAGTTACTTGCCATCCTCAGTCGCTCTTTGACTCGCTCTGCTGTAGCTGTCTGTCCTCATGAAGAACTCTCATGGCGACTCCTCTCTCAGCCTTTCCTTCTCTTGGTCAACTCCTTTCTTCCTTCCTCTCTCCACCAGTTGATTGGCCTATTAGCTGAGGCAGAAAATAGGAGGTGGGAGTTCCAGCAGAGAGATATGAACTCTGGGATAGAAAGAGGAGGGAGTTTTGCCCTGGCCTCTGAGGAGAATGGACGTATGAAACTGGAGGAGAGCCACATGGCACATGTAAAATAGATATGTGGGTAATTAAGTTATGAGCTGGAGCCGGGTGGTGGCTATGCATGTCTTTAGTCCCAAAACTTGGGGGGTAGAGGCAGGCAGGTTTCTGCGAATTCAAGTCCAGTCTGATCTATAGATTTCCAGGACAGCCAAGGCAACACAGAGAAACCTTGTCTTTAAAAAAAAAAAAAAAAAAGCTGTGAGTTAGTCAAGGAACAAGCCAAAGGGCCTAGGCATTCATTCATAAATAATGAAGTCTCAGAGTTGATATTTTTCGGGAGCTGGGGTGGGGGAGGAAGCACCCAAGTTTACACCCCAAGGTCTCATGATCTCTGGATCTTTGTTCCTCGTGTCTCTGCGTGTGTCTTTCCTGGACAATCTCCACATCTCCATCCTCTGCAGCTGTGGCTGAAGCCAGAAAGGGGATTGGCAGAACATGTGGAGAGAGAGAGAGAGAGAGAGAGCATTGCTGGCTGACCCTTAAGAGGGAATGGAACACATTTCTGGTGTTTGCTGCCTACATAAGTCGTTCTGTTTGAGTCTCTGCCAGTCTTCAGATCTTTGTACAGATGTTGTAGGCATCTTCAGCGTTTGCTTCCTCCCTGGAGGGGAGCTTCCTCCTACACACTCATACCAAGAGGTGATTCTCAGGCTGCCAAGCATGAGCCATCAGACACACAGTCGCTTTTCATGAGAAGTTCCACCACACAGATGTCCCTTTCACCGCTCTTCTCTCCTGCCTTCCCCAGTTGCCCTGCATTGGTTTTTTGAGTGATACACTTGTGGATACTGCCTAGTCTACTCTGCCTTGCTTTGGTTTGCCCTTTGACCTCAGTTGGCAGCACCTCTCCTGGCCTCATCTTCCGAGTGTCTCTCTTTCTCTGAAGCCCCTCTCTTCCTGTAGCCCCTCATGGGACTCAGTTTTAACTGCAAAGCTGTGCCAGGACACTCCTGTCACTCTGATTCTTCACAAATTGTCAGCTTACTTTCCCCATGCAGAGACAGACTTAAAATTTCCAATTTTCGGCATTGTGAGAGTAGTCCGGTCAGGAGTGCCCAAGACTCTACAGTCCCATAATCCCTGATCTCCTCCACCCAAGGACCTCACATGACACTCAGGTCTGTCCCTGCTTCCCAGGGTTGGAAGCTCAAACACAGCCTGGTGGCTAAGGCAATATTCACCTAGCTGTCTGTAGGCTTTGTTCCCAGTGAAACTTTCACATTGACTGTGTCGCGTCCAGAATGGAAAGTGTTAATATGAACTGCACAGCTACCTACTGTGGGGCTTACCTTACAATATGTACCTTACAATAAATATCCATCCAGAGACACAGCGCCATTCACATTTGTGGGTGGAGCTTTGGCCTGGGGCATTCCCAGATAAAAAAAAACAAAACAAATGCACTTGAGCGTTCTCGGGGTGATGTATAATTTGGAGTTTTTTGCATTGAGATATGGAAGGACTATTGAGGCAGAGAACACACAGAGCACCATAGAGTTTGAGAGACCACCGCTCCATATCACCTACAAAGGACAGGGAACAGTGGCCATTTAAATGAAAAAGTCTGAGAGCCCTGGAAGGCAGGGGGTGGGGCTGTTCCGTGGTAAGCTTTACTCCCTTGGATAGAGAAGGGAGGTCAGAAAAAGTCCCCCTTTTCAGAGAAGGGAGACAGGTCCGCAGCCTTCTGGGTGGTTGTCCCACAGTGCTGGGACCCAACATGCAGGATTTCTGTTTAATTTGATGGGGGGGGGGGGTCCTTAACAAAGTTAAATCTCTTTTGTCGATTTTTACTTCTTTCAGGTGAATCTTTTCTGGGGCTAGTTCTCTGTAAGAGATTTGCTGGGCAGTGGTGGCACAGCCCTTTAATCCCAGCACTCAGAAGACAAAGGCAGGTGGATCTTTGTGAGTCTGAGGCCAACCTAGTCTACACAGTGATGAGTTCCAGGATGGTTGGGGCTACATAGTGAGATCCTGTCTCATCTTCATGACATACAAAGTCATGAAAGGAGTGAGGAGGACTGGGCAAAAAAGACAGACCAGGCCCACACATCCCCAAGCAGCCTGGGAACCCGGCTTGTCCCTTTGATTGGCCGGTTAATTCCTGGTGGGCTTCTACCCCAGAAAGAAGCAGAAACTGAGAGGCACTGGAAGAGGGAAGAGGCTGAGACCAGGGAGAGATGTTTGCAGCGTTTCTTCCTATGGTGTGTGTGTGTGTGTGTGTGTGTGTGTGTGTGTGTGTGTGTGTGTGTGTGTATGGTATGACAGTTCCACAGACAAGAGGCCCAGGCCACTTGGAATCAAGGGAAATCCCAGGCTCTGCACAGGGAAACAGGATTCAGGAAGGAGGGCACTCATCAAAAGAACAAGCTGTGGTCACAATGTTTGCAGACACTTCACCTCCCACAGAGAGCCAAGAGCCAGCAAGCAGAGCCCTGCAGCCTTCAGTGGGAAGCTCAGATGCTGGGGGTGGACAAAGATCCCATTGTGATAGCCTGGGGCAACTATGCCAGGCAGGACAGGTTCTAGTTTTCTGTCACACTCAAGCTTGAGGGCAAGCTGATTTAGTGCTCTGTGGTGCAAAAAGGTGTAAAACAAATGTATCCAGACTGAGCCAACTGGGCCATGGTTTGTGAGATCACGTGGTGGACACCTCTAGGAAGTGAGAGTGAGGAGCAGTCAACCCTGCTCGGAATTGACCACTGTGTCTCTGCAGTGTTGTGCTCGGCATTTCCTGGACTTGCTTCCTGGCCACCGAGGTGTGAACAACTTCACAGTTCTATGAGTCTTTTTTTCTCTCAGCCGTAGGCAAGAAGAGGCATCTCTTTATCGCATGGAGCTGGACAGATGGCTCCGTGGTTAAGTGCACTTGTTCTTGCAGAGGACCTGGGTTTTGAGGCCCAGGACCCATGTGGCAGCTCACATCCATCTCTAACTTCAGTTCCAGGGGATCTTCTGACCTCTTTGAGCACCAGGCACACATGTGGTACATATACATACAGACAAGCAAAACAAAGACACATAAAATAAGTTTTTTTGTTTTTAAAAGAGGAGTCTATGACTCAAAGGTGACTGTATCCTGGAATCTCCATAGCAGCATTGATGATGACCCATGAAAGCTGCGTTCCTGGAGCTCCAGGCACAGAGCCTCCTCTCTCCAGCAATTGTTACTTGGAGGGGGTCCTTGTGAATCTTGTAAATTTTAGGAGTTTCCTCAACCTTGTAAATTTGTTTACCTTTTGAATCTTTTGAGCCTCCCTCCAGGAAGGAGCATCTCAATTCAGAGGAACTAGCTACACAACAGATACCTGCACCCCAAAGTGAGTTTTCGTAAGGCCCTTCCCACCTGCTGTTTCCCATGCTCTGGTTAAGGACAGGGTAGTCATGGTAACTCTCACCCGCCATCTCCTGGGGGTGAGGAGCACTGCTTTAGGGATCCCAACCTTCAGTCTCACTGCACAGAACTGGAAGCTAGCATCGCTGAAGACTGCTTTTTCCCAGTCTCTGTCCTGCTTACCTCTCTCACTGCTCTCTCTTTCTCCCCAGTGCCTGAGGTAGGAACCACTGTGGGAGATGGCTGTAGTCTGGGGCAGTATCCTTCCTGATAGATGCCAGACAAACAGTCCACCAGGGCACAGCCCAGACTCCAGACCCTGTCTTCAGCCTCTCTGAATACTGCAAATCCTCACACTGCCTCCAGGCGGCTCTAGCACCCTCCCTCCCAGGAGACTTCGATATACCAACACTTGACAGAAAACAACCCAAAGGCTCTCCTCCTTGAGAAACCACAACACCAAATTCTCGCCTCTTCTTTGCACTGCTTTGTCTCCATGTCAGGTGATGGTGTTGGTGGTGGTGATGATGATGATGATTATTATTTTCCAACCTACAGGCTGTAACCGTTTGCATCCAGGCAGATAGGCGTTGCTTTTAAATAGGAAGTGGTGACTTGGTGACTTTCTTCTGGCAATTCTAGCATCTCACTGCTCATCTCTCAATCATCACTGCTGGTCGTTTCTGTTGACAGAATGGTCCTCACACTCCTAGGACTGGAGCCTGGACAACCACTGAGGTGGTAGCTGGCCAGTCCACTTTGGATCTCAGCATTTCCTGGGGTGAGCATGCATCCCTTTTCTTTTTTCAGACACACCTTAGCCTTTCTCCTATGGTAGGAATGTCTGACAGGGACAGTTTCCTATGGGATGTGGGCATGCCAACCAAGCTTCTACATAACATCCCAGGCCCTCTTGGCACATTAGGAGGGAAGCATGTTTTCTAGAAGCTGGCTCTTTCCATAGGGCTCACTGGGAGGTTTTATTCTTACTGCCTCACACCAGAGCTTTGGAGATGGTTTGGTCACTGCTTGTTTCTTTAGAAAAAAATCTGAGAAACATCAGTCTGGAGAGGAAGGGTGTGGGGGGTAGGCGGGAGGGGTGTTTGTGTGTATGTTATGTGTTGGGACCTGAGTCTGTGGTGCGGAGGGGTGTCTTTGGTGTGTGTGTGTTTGTGTATGGGGATGTCTGTGGTATGTGCAGTGTGGGTGTGCGTGAGAGCGTGTTGTGTGTGTGGTGTGGGTGTTGTTTGTGCTTGTGTATGTGTGTATCTATGTGTGTGACGTGTGTGTGGTAAGTGGGTAAGCGTGTGGTGTGTGCGTATGGTATATTTGTATGTGGTATGTGTATGGTGTGTGATACACATGTGTGTGTCATTTGTGTGTGGTATAAGTGTGAGTGCTGTGTGTGCTGCTGGAAATTGAATCTAGGGTATGACAAATGCCAGACAAACGCTCCACAGGTAAGCTATATTCCTAGATACATTTTCACTTTGTATTTTGAGACAGGGTCTCACTAGGGTGTGTAGCCTGATTTTAAATTCACATTGCAGCCCAGGCATTGAACTTGATATCCTCCTGCCTCAGCCTCCTGAGAACCTGGGATCCCAGCCCTATGCCACCAAGCCCAACCTATTGCTTCTGTAGCACTAGGAGTGAGGCACAGACCTCAGGAATGCTAGGCAACCGCTCTGCCCGGGCTGCACTCATTCCCAGCAATGTAATGTTTCCCTGAAGACTTATTTACTTTTAATTCTGTGCATAGGTGTGTGATGGGTATGAACACATTCATGTAAGTGTTCGCGGAGGCTGGATCCCCCAGGAGCTGGAATTATGAGAGGTTATGAACGTGTGTCAAACGTGTGTGCTGGGAAAGGAACTCTAGACCTCTGTAAGAGCGGTACTTGCTGATAATAACAAAGTCATCTCTCTGGACCCCTAGGAAAACAGAACTATTTCCCTGAAGTTCCATAAGTACACAGTCAATGTGAAATATGAAGAATTTGTTTGAAAACATCCTGTAGAGAGTTTATAAGAAAACCAGTGTTTGAGCAAATTGTGGAATATAAATACAATTATTTTTAAGTAAAAAAAAATGTAATTCTTCATTTAACTCAGTACGCAGAGGGACTTGAAGCTGAATGCTGACTTAAGAAACAGAAGCAGTAAGAGCTTTATGTAACACGAGGCTGTGGGTGGGACTCTGTGGAGACAGTGCCCCTAAATACAGGGCAGACATAGGCCTGTATTACACTTACTTTTGAAGCACTTAAAGATTTAATCCCTGCAAATAGATACATGAAGGGAAATTAGCTGTGTAGATAACCCCAGCCTGTATTCCCAGAATTCAGTAGATAAAGGCAAAGGATTATGGGGACACTCTACCCTGTGTTTTTGAGACCTTGCCTAAAAAAAAAAAAAAAAAAAAAAAGCAAATGAAATATATGATATAAAAGTAAGCTGCCAAACAAGAAAGCAAATCACTGGAAAATACCTTCTGGGTTCTTCCTAACCACTAGCTCAAAAGCAGAAGGAACTAGTCTAGTCTTTCAGCTTCACTGGCGTTGATAGAGCAGAGAAGCCAGCATGCCTCTGAATCCAGTGAGCTTTTAACATACATACACACACACACACACACACACACACACACACACACACACACACTAAACACTTAGCATTGTGGTAAGAAAACATTTAATGGAAGACATTTTAACTAAACTCATTATTGAAGGTCTTGTGGGAACTGCATGGCAAAGTGACCTGGATGGTAGATGACAGGCAATGGGGAAGTTTTAGCACTGTTCATAGTCTCAGATAGCCTGCGGCCTGTCTGCTGTGACACTGGCGTGCTGCCTGCCGGAAGGAGCATCTCTTGCGGTAGTAGCAGATGGAAAGCAGTGCCCAGCATATGAGTGGAACTTGATTTACAGCCTACACACAGATGCGAACACACACACACACACACACACCTTGTCTTTGCATATTCTTCTAAACACATCTGCACTCATTCATAAATACTTGGGCTGGTATATTCCAAGCATTCATATACATGAATATGCACGCCTCCACAGACATGCACCCATCCATAGACACTACTAGAACTGTTCATGCACAGAAAAATGGCCCTAGCAAACCATATTACGGTACATAAGAGATCAGTTTTATACTGTGTGGAAATAATTACTAGTATTAAAATTTCCCTAAAGTAGTAGTTTCTTTTTCAGTGTGATTAAAAGAATAGCCTCTGAAATGTTAGAACCCAGAGGCAGAAGTAGGGTTGAGCAGGCCAGGTGCATGCATTCCATTTTGGCACCCTGGCACTGCTGCTTTCTTTGGAAGGGAGAAGAGGTGTGCCTACGTGTTTCAAACCTTAAATGTGAAAGCCAGGGGAGAGCTTACCCAATCATCTGGGTGCTGGGAGGAGAGTGAAGAAAAAAAGGAAAAAGAGGGAACAGAGATGAGAGAAGAAGAACAGAGAGAGGGGAGAAGGTGCCTCCGAAAGAGCAGAAAAGCCATTCAATGCCATGCCATCCCCAAGAGCTGGTTTCTAATTCTAAAGCCAATCCGTAAGAAGCCAGTCAAGGGAGCAGGCACAACTTGAGTAGTGGTTGGCTTTTTCAGCTCTGAGAAACAGGTTCCACTTGGATGTAATGGAGTCAGCATGCCAATGAAAGGCCGTCACTGTGACTTGTGCCACTCTCCCTTCCGAATCAGGCAGAGCAACACTGAGGGACGCAAGCCACCACAGACCAGCAGGGCATGGCTCAGGGACAGGCTCCAGGGAGCCTCTTGCACCTGCCTTTTTCAGGGCAGCATTTTCCAAAGACTCCTCCAAAGAACACTGTCTGAAAAGTCTGAAAAGTCCCATAGGCAATAGGTTTGTCAATTAGTGCTGAGGGGCCAGAGACGCAGCTCCGTGATGTCACCCTCAGCACCCTGAGGAGCTCCTGTGATCTTTTAGGGACCTCAACACATGGCAGATCAAGTTTTATCTGTTTGACACAGACAAGAATTTCAGGTACAAATTTCAGTCTCAAACAGATACGGAGACTTTATTAAAGTTATTTTAATATAGACTTAAGGCATGGGGGTTAGGAGAAAGGAAGGTACTTGGGGAAAGAAAGTAGACACACTGAGGGCATGTGGTGGGAGCTGCTCTGTGAATCATAAAGAGTGAGACACCTATGTAAGGTCTAGACATTAGCTATCTGTACCATTTTGGTGGCCCTCAAAGTATATCCTGAAAGGTTCCCCCCTTTCCTTTTGATATGTGAGATTATGAGGTGACCCTGAAGTGTAGTCATCATCTGACAAAATTAAGCCAGGACCCACAAGGGCTGCACAAGGAGTTGAGCACATGTCCTTCCCGTGTGAATGGGGTTTCTGGTGAAGATTCCTAGAAGACTGAAGCTTTGAAAACTGAAGCAGCTTGAAAGGGGGAAAAGCACACATCCAGAGCACCTACAGGCTTCACCTGACAGGCTTTCCAGCAACCCACAGCCATCAGCGGGCACTTGGCAAAGGAAGCAGTCCTTTCCCAGAGCGGGGCGACCCCACCCCACCCCAGGCACAGCTGAATGAATGAGTGTGGTTACAGAGTAATGAAAAGCACAGTGTAGGCATGCACTCTTCTCAAGACCCCGTCGTAACCACCCCTCACCAGATGCCGGTGAACCCACCTCCTGTCTCCAGGACCTTGCTCAGGCACGTAAGCAGCCTGGGCTTGTGGGTTACTCTGCTGATAAGCATCCGTAGCCAGGACTCCTGGGTCTGCTGGCGCCTGTAGCTACACCTCATGCTCACCCGTCTCCTGCAGTCCCCATTCTCTAGATCCAGTCCATGCTGGGTTCATCTTATCCCCTCAAACTGGCAGGGGTCACCATGTCCCAAGGGCACCTGTGTCACTGTTGTTGAGCTGTCTGAAATTCTTCCTGGCACTCACACCATCTCTACTCCAGGCAGAGTCCTACTTTAGGGCAGAGTAGAAACCCCTCTTTCAAGTCATGATCTCTCAAGCCATGATGGGTGTCCTTTCTAGCTGGCCCTCCACTTCTGAAGCCAAACACCACTTTATCATGCTTGTTCAATCACCAGGGATACCCATGCCCCTCCCTCAACCCCTAATCACTGTGTAAATCTGCCCAGAGTCAGGTGCAGAGGCTGCCACCGAGCCCATTCTAAGCCTGGTGGTTTCAGTGGTTTTTGCCTAAAAGTCAGACAAACATTCATTTTGCTGAGCCCTGTATGAGTCTCCTTGTATGGCTACCAAGTTTCCAGTTCGCATGGCTGGGCCTCCTCTCAGTTCTGCAGCAAGGGATCTGATACCAACTTCAGTTGCAGGGCAGCTGGGCACAGCGCCCAAAGTTCTCTTCTGGACTTCTAAAGGGCGAATCTGTGCCTCTGACTGATTCAGCTGTGGTCAGACCTTGGTTCCTGCCACAGGACCCAGATTCCTGCTTTCGCAACAGTTGTCAGAGAGGGCCCTTGCCATCCTGTCCAAGAAAGTGGTTTGGCTTGGGGCCTTCAACATAAGCAGCAACAGATGTTTCCATCACAAGCTTTCTTCTCTCCTGTCTCAGGTGAAAGAGTCTTGAGGGCCAAGTATCCATTCTATCTGTCCCGTGTGAACCTTCATCCAGATTTATGTCTTCGAAGACTCTTTTGCCAGGTAAACTGATATGCCCATGGTTTCCAGAGATTAAGGGGTAGGCATCTTTGTAGCAGAGGGTGAGCACAGCGCTGTTGTGTCAGACCACTGGCTCTGAGCAGCTGGCTTTAACGGAA